GACCAGCGAGCTTGCAGAGCTCTTGCCAAGACCTGCAGGACTCTTGCTGTAGACTTGCCAAGCAAATTTGCTACAAATTCAAAAAGTGTCAACTAGAACTTGCGCTGCAAGTGTTCTGCAAGTCTACAACTTGCCAGGAATATGTGCAGCAAGTTAACAAGAATTACAATTTCACTCCGCCACAAGTTTGTAGCAAGTTATCCTTGCTATCTGGGCTTGAATGTGGATGAGCATTTTAAAATGTCCTCCCCACATTTTAAAGAGCCAGTAATGGCTGTTTATATACAAGCATTTGGGGCGGCTATAGAGCCGATCACTTGTATGTAGTCTGCAAGTGTGCTGCCCCCCCTCCCACAGGACGGCTCTGCCGTCCCCTGTTCGGGCCTGGGACCGGCATGGCGGCTCTCTGTACTGAGATTGGAGGGAGAGCAGCACACAATTGCGCAGATTGTGTCGCACATGTTACATATCATCATGAACGTCGGAGTGTGAGCAATAATTCAAGGGCCATCAATCACATTTCACTTACAAATTACGAGCACTCATTGTTCGGTGCGCTCAGCTGACTGCGCTGGCCAATGAGAAGCGCTTACTTATACGGTTTTACTTAAAATTATTTTTCGTATCATGACAAGTAGATTGTCATGAGGGAAAAGTAGATTGGGCCTCTGCTTTAGTCCTTAGACAAGTAGTTTTTTTTTAAATTTTCACACCCCCTGGAATAAGAATCAGAATAATCCTTTGGATGTGAGGATCAAAGTGTTGTCAAAATCCAGTCGACAAGAAAATAAAGTTCAGCACTACTGGGTGCTTAATGGCATATAAACTTCAAGTTATGTCTGCCATGTCCTGAGATAAGACTGGATTTTCTATAACATACAGTACCTTGGAGAAGGACACATGTAGACAGATACCCCAGTGTGACTGCCATGCCTATGTCTGATCTGAACTTCTGTGGTTAGGAATAAGCATAATTTTCCTTGGCTGAGACCACTAATAACCATATATTTTTTCTCACCTGCACCAAATTTGCTAAGAAACCTGGATTTGTGTTGTTCTAATTACTTTACAATTGTAACAGTGGATGTTTTTGCCAGCCTGTGGAATAATCCAATTATGCATGCTAAAATTTAGCCTCTTGTGGACTGGATTTTGTCAACACATTGATCCTCACACATCCAGACGAGATTATAGTCATACTTATTCAGTGAGATGAGCAGTAATTAAAGGGACACCTGTGATCAGAGCCGGCGCTACAGCTAGGCAAACAAGGCAGCCGCCTAGGGCGCACTGTTGCCTAGGGCGCAGCCTCGACTTCCTTGCAGCTTCCTTGCCTCTACCCTGCTGTACACACGTGTGCTTAGCATGTTCCGTTGAATCCAGCTTGTCACTGCTTTCTTCCACGCGCTTGTCAGCTGAGCGACAGTGAGGAGGGGGGCGCCATCAGTCAGCCTGGTCCTGGGAGTGGATTGGCGGAGTGCAGCTGGCCACGCCCCCGGCCACACTCCCTGCACACAGAGCAGAGCAATGCAAGGTGAGCAGGCAGTGTGCGCTGCCTTTTCCCGGGATCGCTGTGTTGCTGTCGGGATCTACTTACCCTGGTGGGACGCTATGGCTGCATGCTGACTGGCCTGCTCCTCCCCCACCCCTGATTGGAGTCTGCTCATGGTAAGCAACCTGTTGATCTCTAGCTGCAGACATCTCAACTCTTTCTCTGCTCTGTTGTTTTGTTTTTTTCTTGACATCGGGGCCGCTGGTCGCCGTCAGTCAGGGAAAAAAACGGCATAGGAACGAATAGCTAGGTTGCTATTGCAAATTGTAATAGCCAATAGCAGACTAGCTATTGCACCGGCCCACTGCTGCTGTCAATCAGCAGAGGTGGACCTGAAAATCTCCATCAGGTCCTCCTTTACTGACTGACAGCAGCAGAGGGCGGGAACAATAGCCAGCTTGCTATTGGCTATTGCAAATTGAAATAGCCAATAGCAATCTAGCTATTCGTTTCTATGCTGTGTTTTTTTTTCATTTTTTATTATACTGTCGGCAGCAGCTGTCAGAATACTAAAAAAAACAGCAGATAGCAGGGGAAGCATTAGCTTCTCTGCTATCTGCCATCATTTCAGGGGGGTGCTCTCTACCAAAAATACTCGAGTCTGTAATTGCTGCCAATTGCTGCTTCAGTAAAAGGGTCTAAATACTTAAGTACATATTTCAGTTATTTATTTGTATTAAATTCACAGACATTTCTAAAATTCTATATACAGGTGAAACTCGAATAATTAGAATATCGTGCAAAGTTCATTTATTTCACTAATGCAACTTAAAAGGTGAAACTAATATATGAGATAGACTCATTACATGCAAAGCAAGATAATTAAAGCCGTGATTTGTCATAATTGTGATGATTATGGCTTACAGCTCATGAAAACCCCAAGAACCCCAAATCCACAACCTCAAAAAATTAGATTATTACATGCAATCAATAAAACAAGGATTGTACATAGAACAATATCGGACCTCTGAGAAGTACAAGCATGCATATGTACTCAGTACTTGGTTTGGGCCCCTTTTGCAGCACTTACTGCCATTACTTTTGCACGATATTCTAATTATTCGAGTTTCACCTGTATATATCCATCCCAGGGGACTAATCAAGCTTTTAGTCAAATGTTTTTCTTTTCTGTACACTTCCAGATCATCCAGATCTATAATCACAGGAACCAATCATGCACAGTGCTTCTCGGTGGATGGCTTTTATGTCTTGGTTATTGAAGCCAAAGTTCTAAAGAGATAGGGGTGTTGTGAAATCAGTGATTCCAACTATGTTGATGGATTATAAGTCTACCTCTCATAAGGTGTACCACTGGACCTGGGAAGCTTTTTTCCATTGGTACGAGGATAAGGGTTCCAATTCTCCGTGGGACAAATTCTGACTTTTCTTCAAACATATGGGGGGGGGGGGATTTCACTAAAGAGCCAGTGGCCTGGTATGGCGCAGGGAGTGGGGGGGCACTTGTCTGCCAGGTCTGTGCTCGGATTAAGGGTCTGGTTGGGAATGTGAGGGGGGGACCCAATTCCCCCCCCCCTATTTTTTGGGGGGTTGGGTTGCCGTTTAAAATTCCTACCAGACCATTTTCTTTCCTTTTATTTACATGTAAGTTTTACATGTCAGTGGCATTCGGCTATTCACTCACTGCTGTTTGGTCCCTATGAGAATAAAGCGAGTAAACTCCCAGACGTTTGGGTCAGCCAATCCAGATGTTTGATCGGCTGAGTCAAATGGGTTCTTCCCTTCGGCTCAGATGAACATGCCGAGTATGTTCGGCTAAACCGAGCGGAGCCGAAGTCAGCAGTTCTCGGCTGAAGTGAATAGCTGAACGGCGTTCAACTCACTTTACTTTACTCAGTTATACACTCGGCTGCCTCCGGTTGCTTAGTGAATAACCCCCTTGGTACTGAATACTATCAAAACCCTGATTTCAGCCTTGGCTCAACGTCTGTCAGAGGCTTATTCCCTGGTTTGTACCTTTGTTAGTATCTTTGGGAGTTACTCATGTGGTGCCTCCTGTTAGGTACCTGCTTCAACAGTTTGATCCAAATCTGGTATTGTCAGTGCGCTAGGAACATGCCTTTGAGCATATACAGGAGATTGCTTTGTCATCCCTGTCCCAGGAGGTTGCTTTTGGATGTGCCATGGCTACAGAATTACTTCCTGCATCCTTCATTGTATGACTGATGAAACATATTCTTGGACTTACTGTTAAATGCCTTACTCAGAGTCCATTGAGGAACACAGTCACTTCCCACTATGCTGTATTGGTGAGATGGGAGGCAGGTATGGGAGGGGTTATATGCCTTTTGCATATGTCCATTTTCCATTCCTCCTCCGAACAGCACTATACCCATGGTGACAAAATTACGTCTTTTGTCCCTTAATAAACTCAAAGAAAGGGATTTTACAGTATGCACAAAAATCCTGTTATTTTATATGTCCGGAAAACCTAAAATGAGAAATCTGAGTGGTTGGTCAGCAGTGTATACTGTTCATCTTTTACAAACTTTTTGCCATTCAGTAATACACTATTTAGTGAGCTAGAATGACTTGGCCATGCTCAATGCTATTAAATCACTGCAGTTCTTAGAATACCATTTTATCAATATACCTATGAAAGCTTTGTAACAAAATAATGAAGGCCTGTCCTGCTGACTCAGCCGAAATTTTACGCAATATGTGACCCCCTTGGGATCCCTAGTTCCAGAAAAGTTGATTTTTCAATCAACTTTTGACAAAGAGGCTGCCCCCCCAAAAAAAGTGGGCTGAACAATGACTGCAGTTAGTCAGCTGTAGTCACTATTTGGGTATTCTGACAGCAGCACACCCCCACTGTCAGAAAACAATAGACCGGCAGTGTAATGGCCGATGTATTGCCAGTTTTATGTTGTACTTGAAACTGGCAGTTGATAAGAGCTACAATCTGCTAGTGGAGATTAGATCAAGAAAGAAATTGCAAGAAGAGTAAAGCCTTTCTATCTATATTGCCTACCATTAAAATCTTGTCTTAAAGAAGTTCAACTGTATGTAACTAAGAGAAAATCTAATCCTCTTTTTTTTTAAGGGAGTACAAGGGGGTTGACAAGTTAACACTTAAGGGCTGGTTCATACCAGTCTTGTTTGGCACAAAGCCTTGCTTTGTACAGTATAAGGCGTATTCACACCAATGCACTGCATTGGTGTGCATTCTGATAAAATGATACAGACACCATTTTATTGCAGCACATTGCAAAGTGCTACAATGCGTTAAAAAGTGCTGCAGCACAATATTTATATATCGTACAAACAAAAAACAAAAAGAGAGCGCCACAATGCTTTACAGCAACACATGGCAGCACACATAAATGCACCTTCACACCGTAAAGCTGTACACACAATAATATAATTGTCCCATAAAATGTATAACATCTCAGTTTTTACATAAATTCACAAAAAATAAAAAATGTACCTTTAATTTCATGTTTTTCCACTTCTTTAAGGGAGCGAACAAAAGCAGTCTGGCTCTCTGTGAGCATCCAGCTTTTATGTAATACTGTTGCTTGTATAATATACTTGTGTGCCTGCAGAAAGAAAAAGGGAAATACACTATTTTTAACTTGAACTCAACGTTCTTTTGTTCTAGAAAAAAAGCAAATAGCTATCTAACTATCTCTGTCTCTCTATCTATTTGTTCATACATATATGTGAAAAAAATAATAAACACTGAAGAAAGGTGGGTTTTTTTTTATATTACAGGATATATATTTGTCCATATATAATATAAGAAACCTTTTTGTAGAGAACATGATCATATGAACCAGGGAGTGCAATATATGTTTAAAAAAAAAATATTTCTAACAAGGCTCCTATGCTTTCATTGTTCATTACTGGTACTTTACTAACCTCAATGTTATATAAAAGTAAAACTTAAGCATGTCGATTTTATGTTGACAAACCTAATAGGACAATCTTCTATTATATAAAGTTTAAGAATATACATTTTGTATACTGTATATAATGCAGTATTACATTACAATACTTTTATAATTTTTGTGAATCCAGTAATATCCTATATTTAGGCTACCATTGCCAACAGTTACTTTTAAATATGCTAGCTGCCTGTCTGTCATGCATGCTTTTAATATGTTCTAAAGCTGACCACACACACACACACACACATACTAGTATTTGATCTGTACACCACACAGCACCGCAGACAAGAAGTGCTTCTAATTGGTCAGCGCGGTCAGGTGACCAAACTGACCAATGAGTGCTCACCACTTTTGACCTTAAATTTAAATACTGAACACAGGGCTGTGTTTCTGGGTACAATGTACAAATCGGCAGCCAAGGAGAGGAATTAAAATTCGCTAAGAGGTAAGAGGGGGTAGTTTAGCTCATTTAGCTAGGAAAGTGGAATTACCCTCAAACAGGTCAAATGTTTTCCCTTCACCAAGGCAGTTTCTAGGTTCCTAAAAGACCCCTGGCTCCTAGACTAGGATGTTAACGGGTTTGTAGTAAACTATGGTAAAAAGTGTATGAAGTTGTTTCTCATTCCATACGGCTAAACAAAGAAATCAAATGTCTGATATTGCTTGTAAAAATAAGTAATAATTAGTTAATGTGCATATAATATGTATGATTGTTAATATTGGTCTGATATTGCTTAGTGAAAAAGAAATATGTATTGTGAGGTATGGATACATGTAGAAACCAAGTACTAAATTTAACATGTCATGTTCTATAATTATCTACCCAACATAATTCTAAAGCCGTGTAAGGGAAAAATGCAGTTACCTAAGGCGGTAAAAATGGATGCCCAAAAATAAACGACCATATTTGGGATGATGGCAAAACATATCTGGGGCACTTAGTAAAAGACCTGGGTGTCAGCGTGTAGCAACATCCCTGACTACAACTGTCTCGCTTTTTTCATGCTTGTTATAAAATCAGGAGATAAAATACAAAATCAGCCAGGGAGCTAGAATTTTCAAAAGATGGTCATGCTACATATTTCTTTCAGTACAGGTTTCCTTTAGAGCAACTCGGTTGCAAAAAAAGAAGAAAAAAGCCCGTATAAAAACTGTAATAATAACTGTTAGTTCTTTCAGAGGGGACTTCAATCTTTGATGTCTTGCAGATCACTGACTGCTGGTTTCTTCACCATCAGACAATTCCGGGAGCTTTAGATGCTTATGTACTACTATTATACCCGCCAGGAACTAAATCACTGCAAGGACAAACTAATGATGTAGAGACCAGCAGGTGTAGCCACGGTGTGCAGCAAGGGACGCAGGGACCCATCATACCTTGAAATGTCAGATACCGAAGATTCCAGAGGCCAGTGTAGTTATGCAATATAGCAACACTGGAGTCACTGGAGGTGGGACTGCTAAGTATTATTACTCTTATTTTCTTTAAATAGCAACAAAGTCCCTTTAAATCAGTTACAAAGCTGACTACAAAGTATTTGCAACAATTACAGTCTAAGAGAGGAAGCATAATGTACCCTATAATTAATTCCTCATACCACACAGAATAGTTTTAACTTACACACTTGACTGCCATCGAAGCTATTTAAACCCATACATTGCTCGCCCCTTTATGCTGTAATTGACTGTGTTGGGTCCCAATCAGTCTAATGCTTTAGATGTGGCTATTCAAGTAAAACGGTTAACACTTGATCGCTCCTCCAGTATAATTGGGCCCAGGCTTATATTTTTATAATCATTATAATATGTCCAAATGGATGATGTTGTCAAACTAGTAGGAATATCTTCTATTGCACTGCCCATTAATTCACATTTAATAAGATCATGGTCATTACAGAAAAGAAAGGCTCATGAACTGGAATCTAAAAGCGGATTCATATTATGTCAATCCATTTCAAGGTTCCGATTTAGTTTTAGAGGCCATTACCATAACAACCCAGTGTAATTGCAATCGATAATAAGCATAAAAATCATTTCATATTGTTTCATTAACAAAAGAAAAATGCAACAAGTGCTCACACATATTTAGAGGTCATTTAAAACGTTTTTTCTTTTAAAAGTTGCAAAGATAATACAATAACAAAACCAACGTTTTACCTTATGACAGCTTATTGCTACCTATATTCCCTTTGTTTACCTTGGTTTTAATTGATACTTTAAAAACATTATATATAGGATTATATATCATTTACAACTACACAGGCATTCTCCAGTAGTAGAGTTTAGAACAGGCTATTTAACAGCATGAGGCCCCATGTCCAGAGCAGTTATGGTTGAAGTACAAGGTAAATTCCAATTCTTATTTTAACATACTGTATATTTGATCATTTGTTTTGGACCAGGGTGTTGCCATGGACATAGCCTATCTTGATTTCAACATTGATGTAAGAGTGGTCAAAGCAGTGTAAACTGCAATGCCACATATTTTAAACATGAAGCTAAGATCGAGAACCTAAGGTCGCTGCTTACGCAGACGATTTGCTCTTTTTTTCTCACTGCCCCTGATATATCTCTACCAAATTTATTAGCAGAATTCGCAGAGTATAGTAAACTATCTAACTATCATATCAATCCCCAAAAATCTGAAGCCCTGAATCTTGCTCTCCCTTCCTCTCACGTGAGCCGCCTTCAAAGTAATTTCACGTTTACCTGGTCTAAGACCTCCATCAAGTACAGTACAGTACAGCTCCTGAGAGACTTGAATACAGTCTACTCTTTAAATTTTTTACCCCTGCTACAGAAAATAAAAATGGACCTTGGGGACTGGTCTCGCCTGGCATTCTCCTGGCCAGGCAGGTGCAACATCGTTAAACAAAACGTCTTACCGAGGCTGCTATACCCTATTCAAGCATTGCCCATCTCGGTACCCAGGGGATTCTGGGTGGCGGTTCAGTCCCTGATTACAAAATACATTTGGGGGTCTAAACCAGCTAGAATACGACATTCCATTCTTCGTTTACCCAAGACTTGCGGGGGTCTGGCTGTTCCTGACGTCTATTTCTACTATGTAGCCGCGCATCTCACACGGATCCTCGACTGGTGCCGTCACACTGCTTTGAAACCCTGGATTGCCCTCGAACAATGTGCTTCTCCCATTCCCCTTCACACACTCCCCTGGTGTCCTCAAGTGCCCACCTCGACCCATACGCACCCGACGATTGGTCAGACCTGGAAGATAGCCCGAAAGGTATTTGACACCAGACTGATCTCTCCGTCGCCCTCCCCGCTTATCCCGGTTATAGGGTCACCGGATTTCACCCCGGGACTGCAAGACCCCATCAGTCTTGAATACTCCGATGCAACCCTACCTATAGTATGTAAATACTTACCTGCCCCATTGACATGTCACCTGCCGCCCCGAGGTTGGCCTTCTATTCGAGGTTACACATGGGTGGAGGGTCTGCGTTCTGGGCTCTGGGGGGACGGCACAGGCGGAGGTGGGCTCGTCCCTCTTCCGCCGGGGGGGTCTCTTCAGAAGAATATGAGCCCATTATGGAATCATACGACCCTTCCACGGATCTATGATACCGACAACGTACAGGTTGGTAGTTTGTCCTAGAGGGCATTATTTGGGTTACTACACCCTAGGGTTGATACTATGTACAGTACATAGTACTAACTTGTAATGTCGCTGTTCGGTGGCTGCGCCCACTGCTATTACGGTGGGAACAGTTTCCCCTGCTTGCTATATGTGTTTATATGTTTGAAAACTTGATAAATAAAAGAATTTATAAAAAAAAAAGATCGAGAACCTAGGGACAAATCTACAAATAGTGGGAGGAAAGCTAACCTTGGAAAGTATTTTATTACTGAAAGAATAGTTGATGCTTGGAACAGGCTTCCAGCAGAGACATTGGGGGTGATTTACTAACCTAAACACATGCACGCACCAGGTGCGTGTTGATTTTCACACAGCAAAACGTATTTATCAACCAAAAAGTCTCTAAAAGCATATTTCCACTAATGCCATATATGGAAAAATAATGCACATGATGCATATATAATGCTGCTTCACAGTTTAGACAAAAATGGTTAGCTCATGCATTTACATTCCTGCATTCATCAACGCAAGCAACACAACATAGAGCTAATTTACACAACATCACCTTGCAATTCATGCAGGGCTTTGCACAACACACCTGCTGGGTGTGTACACACTACAAAGGTGTTTAGATTCCACCCATAGATCATGCTGGGAGGGAAAACACTACAGAGGCGTATACATGTTCGTGGTGTGTTTATAAGGTTAGTAAATCAACCCCATTGAGTCAGTCAACAGTAAGTGAATTTGAACATGCCTGGGACAAATAAAAAACTATTCTGAGACAAAAAGATTAAAAAAGAAAACAAAAATCAAAAAGACTCAATAGACCACTGGGTCTTTTTCTGCCGTATCTATGTTTTTCCAATTTATTTCATGGGGTACATTATTGTTTATAATGCTTTAAATGTCAAACTGATGTATGGATATCACAGTAGACATACCCTTTATCTGTAGTCAGGCATATAATCATCAAAAGTGTGTGGAGCTACAGAAGGGCCTGCCATGACTAGGAGTGGGACTTAATGGAAGTTCAGTTAATTTTCCAGATTGTATAAACATCATATCCTGCCATCACTATATATTATTTATACATATAAACTGTAAAAAAAAAAACATGCCACAGACACTTCAGAGGGAAGTTCCTTGAATGGTATCCCTACAGTGCCATAGTAATTCCTGGGTTTGCAAGGTCAAATGATCCTAAAAGCTATGCCAGCAGCAATATAGCTGTCAATTTTGCCACAAAATGCTGGGAAGGTCCCTGATGAAGGCAGGGACAAAAAGAGACGTCCTTGTTCTCCAGACTGGGGTTATAATATAGTGCTAGCAACCCCTTCTTGTAAAGAACATTAAAGTTTTATTGGATTTATGCACAATTAAAACTTCCTTCTGCTTTTTATAATTTTTTTCTGCTGCACAAATTCTGTGTCTGCACCATTTTTATACAAGAAATAAAAATGTTATTCTCTGCTATATCAACTAACTTTGTGCTGTTAGAAATTAATTTTAAGTGTTAGATGGAAAGACGCATTAATAAATATGCTGGGCTTTTATTTATTTCTGGGGCTCCTGACTCTTTTCCCCTGCCTTTCACTGCTGCGATTATTACTACTATGGTTTAATTAATGCAGAATGAAGTGGTCAAAATCAGCACAGTAAACAGCGCCATAAACTCTCACCGGCTGTGGGCTGGGTGTTTTCTCTTCATTGCTTTCATTCTCTTCTGTAGGTTGTGTTGCAGTTGTACTGCCAGGTCTTGATGAAGGCTTGCTGTTTCTCTGGCTGCCACCTGAGCCATTCCTCCCATTCTTTGTTCCATTTGACAAGACCTGGCTTTTGCTTGCTGTTATAAGAGAAATTAGTTTATAAAAATGTCAGTATGTCCATAAAGTCTACAATGTGAGCAATCAACATTACTCCCATGCCTAAAAGTGCTGGATCCTGGAGCCCACAATTTTTTTTACTTGGGATATCTATAAGATATATGTACAGTATAAAGGATCGTAAGGGATGTAATTGATGTGCCAGCTCCTTGACAGCAGCCAAGAGTTCCTGAAGTAAAGCTAACTTCTCAGCAAACTTTAAAGGTGAAAAATTCCTGAGTGTCTAATTGTTTATTGTGTTTTTGTGTTATATGTTGTTTAACCAATGGCTGCCTTATATATACTGTATATAAAAACGGTATGTAAACCACAACATTAGGCTCTTATATGGGCCCTTTTAGTCTGTTAAACATAAAAACCATGTTTGCTTGTGAGCTGCATTCTTATCAGTCACATTGTTTTCCAGCTCACACTGAGAACTACAGAACCCATCCATTGGTATAGAGAAGATGGGAAGGTGTTTGATCTTGCCCTATGCTGCTTCTCTGTGAATACAGTACCGCGAGTGAGCATTGTCACCCTAAAATGTATTACTGACAGAATTACCAGGGAAAAATAAAGATAAAATATCCTGAAAAAAGTAGCCACAACATCTAAGGACTGTAAGCTACAATATATTACCCTTTTTAACTTGGGCTTAGAACAACAACTTGTGTTCAGCTAACTGATAGGATTTACAAGGACTGCTTCATATTTCTTTTTTCTGCAGATGAGACAGATTTATCACTTTAACACACCCCAAAACCCATACCAGACCCGTATCAAGGTATGCAGCCTGGCTGTCCAGGAAGCTGTCATTTAGTTGTGGGCTGCATATATGAGGAAGTTTGGGCAGGCGGGCAAACTAGCCAATCTGGCCATTTACTGTAGTTTGCTCATTCAGCAAAGTGTGAACAAACTGGGTTCAGGTCAAATTCAGGGTTGAGCTGAATCTGACACTCATCCCTAGAAATTAAGCTTGGCAGAGTAGCTATCTGCAGGAGTAGACTTGGCACATGAGAGAAAAATTAGTACCAAACTTGGAGATGCAATTTCCCTGGCTGCAATTAGTTCTATCTAAAGGCTGCCCTTTAATAAAAACAAAGCTTCTCTTGTTTAAAGTGAGGATCCTGGACTGTTGCAGCAAGGACGGCTCTCTGACCAACCAGTGTTTTGTGCTGAGCTCAGCTGCTGCTGCAACAGAGGTAGAGAGAGTGCACAATGGATGCACAGGTTTTGAACATGCAAGAGCGCTTGCTCCTGCGAAGCCCAACGCAAGTTGTGTCCTGCCATCTTGGCAGGATGGGGGGTTGGCCTACCTAGGAGTTTTTCATACAGGCTTGGGAGAGACTGCATACAACCTTCAGGATTGACATTAACCATACAAGTAGAAGTACTGATACTTGTCCAAGTACTCACAGATACAAGTACTGATACATTTTTGTTTATTGTCATGTGACAGTTTTTCCTAAAACAATACAGACTAATGATTTCAGGACAGTGGTAGAGCACCAGGGCCCGTTCCAAGCTGCAACCGCTGCAACCCTGGTAGTTCTTATGAAAATGTCAAGTATCGGCAGTGGTATCTGAATTGGTATCTGAACTTCTCTAATCCTAATCTTCATTTTTTTACATCAACATTCAGGCTTGACAGGAGGTGGCATTGCACAGTGCTGTAAATCTAACAAATGAAGCGTGCTTATAAGAGGCAATATCATTGATTGCTGTAGTTAAAAGTAAATGTTCAGGCCCTTGATATGGTATCAGCATTAGAACTGAGTTTCAGTGAATTACATATTTTGGCAGGTAAAATTGGATTTTTGAACTTACTGTAAAATCAGTTTTTAGAAGTTTACTGAGTAACACAAGATTCAGAGACAATAGGGTTAGACTACTGCTTAGAGAAGGATTTGAACACAAAAACTGTAGAACCACTGCCACCCCTAGAATGCCTCCATGTTGTAGAAAAGCAATACCATGAGCAAGGTCATAAAAAGAGTGAGATAAGTGTCCCTCAATTAACTTAAAAAAAATGGATTTTACAGCAAGTACAAAAAGACAGTTTTCTTTCACAATCATTGAGGGAAACACGATTCTGAGAGAATTAGTATGTCCAAAGCAATCTAACTTAGGGATGGGCAGCAATAAAACATTTCCAAAACAGGCCCACGTAACAACAAAACTTAGGGCTGCCTGCAATCAAAAGAGCCGCTTGAAGAATCTTACGTCCAGAGCTGGCATGAAATGAGGCTTGAACATCCACCTGGAAAAACTTAAAGAACATGTGAACATAAGACCAGGTGGCAACCTTGAAATCTGGGAGACGGTATCCTGATGTTGAAAAGCCCAAGAAGCACTCACAGATCTGGTAGAGTGTGCCTCAAAACCATACGCTTGGATGATGATCTGTCTAAGGCATCACAAAATTGTGGAATGAAGCAGGTTCCCCTTTCACAGAAACATGAGTCAGTTTTTCTATTGGAAGCAGTTGCTGTGAGAGAAACACATACAGCATGTACTACATCCAGACAATAGAGGGAAATCCCTTTCTGATGCACAGGCGTTGGGCAGAGGAACAAAAGGAACAATGTCCTGGTTGAGGTAAAAGGCCAAAACCACCTTGAGAAGGAAGGAGGCTCTGGACCTTCACACCACCTTGTCCTTATTTAGGACCAACAATAGTTCTGTGCAGGACAAGACCAGCAGCACATAAACATGCCTCAAAAAGGTAATGGCGTCAAGGAAGGCAACCTGGCGAGAAAGGGAAATATCCCTGTTCGCTAGAAAAGGTGGTTTTTGAATAGCCAAAAGTACTACATTGAGATTCCATGGAGAAACAGGCGATTGAAGAAGGATAATAATCCACTCCTTGAGACAGAAAGTTCTGATGATCTATAAGAGCCCTTGAAGCACACAGTGGATGGCGTTTGCGCATGCGCGCACGCACAGTGTGACCCATAGTGTCAGACCGGGCCGTGCACTATCTCGTAGACGTCAGTGCGCGCGCGTGTGCGCTTCACGTCGCGTGCACGCATCTACGACGTATTGTGGCGCCAAACGGGCTATTTAAGCTCAGCCCCTCCATGTCTCCAGTGCTGAGTACTCTTTCAGCTTTGTGCCTTGTATACTGTGCCTGTTTCCTGTCGTGTTGTTTCCTGTTGCTGACCCTGGCTTGCTCCTGACTCTGCTGATCTTCCGGTATCCTGACCCTGGCTTGTCTGACGATTCTCCTGCTTCCTGCCTGTTCCTGTATTGCCTGCACGTTATCGACCCCGGCCTGTGACCCGACCACAAGTTTGCCTCTTGCTACACTACCTTCCCGCCTGCACGTTGCCGACCTGCTACTATCATCAGTTTCTGAATGAATGGGAAGCCTCTGTACGGAGTGCTTCCCATTCATTGAGTGCTGAACCTGCAGAAAAAGAAATTGAGGACTTTATGTCCTCAAATTCTTTTCTATTTAAGGGAAATGTCAGGGGTCTGCTTAGACCCCTAATATTTCCCCAAAGCCCCACCAACAGTAAAATAAAAAATAAAAAAATGTAAAAAATTATTTTAAAAAAAGTGAAAATTACCCCCCCCCACACACGTATTATTAGACATGTGCAAACACTACAAATTCATTTCAGATGAAATGAACGAAAACTAAAAACATTTTCATTCGTTCCATCAAACAAAACAAATTTTTATGCTATTTTGGATTCAGCCATTGGTGCGTTCTGGAGGCAGGGCGCATAACGTCATATAACACCGCACGTGTTGGGTGCCGTCATCTTGATGTATATCTAGGTATACACCAAGATGGTGGCGCCTATATCGGCGTCTGACGCCACCCATGCATGGAGTCATGTGACATCATGCTCCCCGCCTCCAAGATGGTGGCACGCATTCGCAGAACGCGCCGGTGGCCAAAATGGACACCACATTCTCATTATTACAGAATTATTATATGCCTGAATACATTTTTCGTATATTCGGGCAAATAGTAATTCATTAATTTAACATGTAGTCTAGGTTTTGTGTTCTGTTTTTTATTTTTACTTTTCTAGATGCACTTACATAAAAAAGGGTCGGCATGACAACCTGACACTTGGTTTTTATAGACTCTATTTTAGTTTACCACTTGTTTTCCTACAGTTGTTTTATTTAATAAGAATACTTATATTGTGCCTACAAATTTAATACCTTCGAACAAAAGTTTTATTTTTATCATACTTTTTAATATGTTTCTTTGGGGCTTAACAAAATGGGAGTCTTTAAATGGTGCAGATATTGGAAAAATGGGTGTGGCCACGGAGGGGTGTGGTTACTGAGGGGTGTGGTCATTTAGGGGCACTGTAGAGCTTTCTCGCAGAGGGCGAATAAAGGCCTAAGTCCGGCCCTGTGCACAGTAAATGTTTTTTGCATACCAGTTCTTCAGTTCAGCATTTTAGCCAAGGATTGCTCTGCATATTTACTGACAGGAGGCTCATAAGGACAATAAGAAGAGTGAAATCTACTAAATCATTAACACAATAGCATAGGGCAGTTTGCATAAGTACAAAATGTTTCATTAAAAGGAGTTTAGTTAGGCGGGAAACAAGATCCTATCTTATGGCCCGTAAACCAGCTTTAGGGCCAGTATAAGTTGTAATGCAGGGCCAGCGCGAGAAAACAAGGTTTTGGAAAAGATCTCCAAATGTTGGATTGATTGATTCTTAAACACAGGCGTGCCAAACATTGAGTAGTAGTCAAAAGCTTATCAGGAGTATCCCAATCCTAAACGATGACTGGGATTGACAAGTCCCCCTGGAAAGGTCTTAGTAGTCTTAGGGCTTCTAAGAGAACCTAGACAGGTAGCAGCAATTTCACTGTGGTGCGTACAGCGTTAATGAGAGCTAAAACAGTCTCTCTAAGTTTTGAATACCAGCAGCTGCTTGAGGCTCCTCTGGGTCAATATAATTCATTAAGGATTTTTAAAACTATTCATCAGACAGAGTCTCTGTGGCAGAAGGCTCAGAGGCCACTAAAGCTGCAGGCAGATCAGATATAGATTCTGTAAGAGAAGTCATGGAAATATGCATTTGGCTTTTGCAGTAAGAGTCTGCCATCAGAGTTGTCCCATGAAATCATGTATTAGTGCACTGCAATCCTCTTGTGGGAGAACCCCTTACATGTTCCAGGCTCTTGGTGTTAGGCCCCTTAAAGGGTGCACTGAAGGAAGCACATGCATTCTACTCTTAGCAAAGTGAGCTATTGCTTAGTCCTTCAGTGTTCACATCTTCTGTGTAAAACAAAGGAGGATAATAAAGGTGCCAACGGTCCTAATAGGTAACTTCCAGTGCTTAGCCCACATGGCCTACTCACAAACACAATTTATAAGAGACCTGGTCACACCAGAGGTTGTGCTATGGCTCTGGAACTGGAAAGCGGTGGTGGCTAACTAGCATTGTGCATTCCAGTCTGGAAAGCACCACAATGCAGAACCCAGTGCTCTAAGGCATATTCAAGGCTAGCCCTGCAATTGACCAGTCCAACTGGGCCCAGGTATAGCCCACAAAGCTATTGATAAGATACACTGATCCTGGATAGCTGTGTATATGCAATTGAAACAGTGTGTATGGAATGTTGGTTGATAAAAACATTTTTCTTGAAAAAAACAGAACAAATGCCTACAAAAAAACAGTTATTTTCTTAGCAGAGAAAAGACATCCATCCTTCTTAGGATACTAGCAAAAAATGGGGCATGCTGGAAATGGGAAGGTTTATACCGGCTGACACTGTTTTTTTGTTTGCAAATATTTAAGTTCTCCTGTAGGCTGCAGTAAAACCCAATTGTCTCTAAATCCTCTGTCCCTATTATCTGAAGACATTTACGGCATTTTGACAATTCATAACCACAAAGAAATAAATTACACATTTAGGCCTCATTCACAGCTGTAAAGGGACACACACCTTTAAGAAGGAGTGTATTTCTGTTCTAGGGAGTCACAGGTGTTTACGCACAACCGCAGACAGTAGCCCATACAAATCGATGACAGGCTAAACAGAAGCCAAGGCTGTAAGCACATCCAAGCGGTCACATGTGTACAGGGACAGATGAGTGGTCCTAGATCCAAACTATCTGACGGCGTGTGGCCATGTGAATGAGGCCTTGTATGTCTATTTGCATATTGTACAGAAATAGGAGCTAGTGGAAAATTACTTACAATAAGAACGTAAAGATCTTTCATTAGGAAGGAAACAAAACGCAGGAATCAGTGCTTGACCTTTCCCAGTGACACTTAGAACTTCTTCATCCTTATCAAAGATCTGTAGTTTGATGAATACGTCCGACTTTGAGGTATGTACGTGAACTGTTGCAATATGCTCTATTGCTGCTTTTACGGCGTACCTTTTATCACAAAAGCAGAACAAAGAATTCATTAAGTTACAGAAGCAGCACAGACTGGAAGTGTCCTTCTGACAAATTTTGACAGGAGATTTATGGCTCTGTACAAAGAATGAATAACGTATGTGTTGAGAATTTTCTTTGAAGATAAAACTGAATACTTTGCATAATTGTCTAGTCTAAACTGAAAGTATTCTTGTATAAATCTGTTCAATAAGACCCATTACAGTAACACAATATGATAATGAAAAAGAAAGCAAGTTCATGACCAACCTGGCCTAGTTCAGCCATTACAGCTCTGATTATATCACATCCTCACTTGATTCCTTTAATAATAAATGGTCTTATTGAATAAAGAGTTACCTTCTCTTCATTGCAGTAACTTATTGCAACCAATCAGAATCTTGTATAAGGCTAACCTCGGAAGACTGAATTCTGATTAATTGCTGTGGGTTACAACACCTAGGAATTAGCACTTATGAATAAGTACTCAATATAAAAAAACTATTCCAAAGAGCAGCTGGTTCATTGTCCCTAAATCGCAGGCCATACCATTGGAGCATAAAAATAATGTTGGGCTCAATAGAATCTGTAACAGCGTGACTACATGCTTCAGAGGAAAATGTGATGCAACAGGTCAGCATTTAAACAACTGTGGGGAAGTATATCAGACAATACAATGAATGTGACATTCACCAAGCATTCACGGCAGATGAATCAGTCGCTGTAACTTAAAACGCATGCACCAGGAAGATACACCTGCAGTGAATGTCACATTTACTGCTTTATAAATATGCCCCCAAGCAATTATTTATGTACATTTAAATGTGGTAGTATTTAGGCATGCGTCAAATAAATATCCACGTTGCTTAATACATTATGTATTTTTTTTATTAGTATTATTATATTTTCTATACAAAAAAGGCCAACAAATAAAGATCCATTTTGGACTTACCTAAATATCAAGTATTTGCTTTGAGGTATATAGTAGTCTCTGATTTCTTTTGTAGAAAATGCATTGTTTACCAAGTCACGAGAGAGCGATGGCAAAGGGTGATAGGCACCAATAAGTCTTAGTCTCCATTTCCCAGATGACAAAGCAAACTCTCCGGTATGTGCCTCTGCCATAAATGTGTATCCCTTCTGTAACATGAGCATAAACATTGCATTACACTATAGTATAAATGAAACCATGTAGAAATAGTATTAATAATGCATAGGTTTTTTTTCAACTACAATATACTTAAGTTGGTAGACTGCAATATATTTACTAGGGATGCACCGACCCCAGGTTTTCGAGCACGAGCACCTATATTTTTTTCCCGGTACTCGCCGATACCAAATACCGATACCGGAAGTCCCATTAAGGAATCGGCGCAGCGTGTAATGACTCGCTGCCCAGCTTCCTGATTAGCTGGGAAGCCGGCTCCATGCTCCCTCGTCAACAGGTGCGAGGAAGCATGGAGCCAGCTTTCTGGCCAATAAGGAAGCTGGGGAGGTGGGTAATGACTCGCTGCCCAGCTTCCTGATTAGCCAGCTTGCCGACCAATCAGGAAGTTGGGCGGCAAGTCTTTACACGCTGCCCGGCTTCCTGATTGGCCGGGAAACCGGCTCCATGATCCCTTGTCACTTGGAACCGGCTTCCTGGCCAATCAGAAAACCGGGGGATGAGTCATTACGTTGCATCCCTAATATTTACACTGTTAAAATGAACAATAAATGCTGTTAGAATTTTTTTTAATTTACTTGACCGTGGGAAAATGCAATAGGAGAAAGAACTGAAGAACTTTGTGATGACAGATTTTCATGGTGTGGATTGGTAAGTAAATAATAAGGTGGAAATTACAGCAGCCAATCAACATTCATCCTTTTCTAACCAAAATAATTTATACTGAAATTTGATTAGCTGCCTGAATAACTACTCTTTGCTTACAGCCAATGGACTAACTAAAGCTTAATAGTTTTAGGAGAAATTAGTAGTGTCTAGGTAGTAGGGATGAGGTTTGGGTATGGGTCTACCATGGTTTTAACGTAAACCAAGTGTTTTTGCGGGCCTGCCGAACTAATGCCGGAATTTACTACAGCAACCATAATGCACTGCCTGATATCTAAACCTAGGTCAGATAGTTTAGAAGGGTTAATAAGGGGGCTTTTAGATAAACCAGCCCCCTTATTATAAAAAGTTGAGTTCCCGCCACTATATTGACTTGTGCTTGAGCTGTGATACGGATCTCCTCTTACTCCCTGCTGTGTTTCTTGAACAGAAGGTAAAGGCAAATCTCCTTCATGGAACACACCAAACAAAATGAAGCCTGCCTGCCTGCCTGCCAGGGACCTTAACTATTCCTTGCTCTACCTAAAACTAAACATGTTTTGGCTTTATATACAATTTAAAGCACATCAATAAAATATATATGTTAATGTACATTTATATTGAAAAAGTCTGTATTTTAATTGCCAAATAAGTTAAAGTGACACTAAACTCAGGAGTTAAATCTTAAAAGTACTCTCAAGTAGGACCATGGGGAACAAAAGTAGCCACCCTCCAGAAGTAAGGACAGTGTCAGCACCAATTCAGAGATGATTTGAGGATCTACAGCCTTTTGATACACAAATACGATACATTTTTGTTAACAGTTAAGGTACTTGAATGTATTTTTAAGATTTAACTACTAAGTTTAGTGTCACTTTACTTCAGACCCCAGTGAACAGAACTCAAACTCAATGCAGGTGAACTTTACAAAAGAAATAATGGTTAGTTTTACATTTCTTAAAAATATTCCTTACCACAATAATATTTCTAATGTAAGAACAGATAGGAAGCAGAGACAATGCATCTGAAGGTACATTTCCATCATAGTAGACATGTGCGATTCGTTTCGTTGCAAATCGAAATTCGTACGAATTTTCCTGAAATTCCGAATTTCGGAGCATCCGAAATCCGAATGGCAGTTTCCGAATTATATCCGAAATACGAAATTCCTTTAACGAATTTCGGATTCGAATTTCTTTGAAACAGGAACTAATATTACCCCTGTAAATGAGGTTGAACAACATGACAAGATTTTTTTAAAATCTGAGATACGGATCCGCTGCTTTACGAAATACGAAATTCGGATCTGGAATCCGTTAACGGAATTCGTATTTCGGATAAAAAAAACAACTACCACTCCAATATTAACAAAGGTATTTTGCTTTTTAACTTCATCATAACGAATGTTCGTAAAGTTACGAAAATATAACCGCCACTAACGAAAATTCGTATTTCGTGCGAATCCGAATTTTTTGATGGCGCACAAGTCTACTGAATAGCAATTCATATTTTCTGCAGGAAAGTAGCTTTAGGGTGCTTTGTTTCATTTACTAAAAACCACAGTTGAATAAATTGTAATGCATCACCAGCAGGGAAGGGGAATTCTTAAGGTGCCCATACACTGCACGATTCTCGTGTGAGAATCGCGGGAAATCCCTCGATCGTACGAGAATCGTGCAGTGTATGGAAGGCGTGCAACCGTTTCTAATGTACGGTCGCACGACTTTTGTATTTCAAGCATGTTGGAAAACCAGCCGAGAATAGTATGATTTTCGGCTGGTTTTTAACATGATCGAGAGAGCACTGCCGAACGGGCCGATGTGCGCACGCGCACACTGCCCGTTCAGCATTGCAGTCATGGGCCTTCAGGGGGGCGGGCTTGCGATTATCGCAGGTACGATCTGCCTGTCCAAGATGGGCAGATCGTATGTTTTTTTAAGTACTTTACAACCCTCGCAAGACAAAAGGGTTATCCATATAAAGCACAGTGTTATCCATATAAAGCTTATTGGATGGCGGCTTCTCCATTAATGCCATCCTGGCAGCCTCAAAGCAACCCTACCGAGTGCAGGCCCAGCCACTCAGGAGATGCCAGTGTAATGAGGAAGTGGGCTGTGACTTGCTATAGGGGCGTGCACTGGAGGGAGAAGCTCACACCTTTCTCTGGGTCATACAGAGATAACGATCACTACACAGAGCTGTATGGAATGCTTCATGTACCAAGCTTGATCTATATGATTGAACTGCATTAACTGCTGCTGGGGACCGGGGTTGTTTTTTCCCGGGAACAGACCATATATTAGGGGCACAGACAAAAACAAAACACATGTTAGTAGAGTAAGGGTATTTAATGCTGCCTGTGCCTTCCTGTCTTGGTAAGCACCACACCCCGCATTTCCTACACAGGGACAGGAAGTGAGGGAAAATCTCTCCAACAAGGACAGAAAGGGCTTGTTCACACTAGCCATGCAGTAAAACACAGTGTTTTGCCATGGGGCTAGTGTCCACTGGGTGACTGCAGTGAGCCGCGGCGCTCTGCGTTGTTACAAAACAAGGCACTGTTTGCTTTTTTTGAGAGCCACTTAAAAGTAGAACTCTGGGCAAAAATAGTATTAACCCTTACAGTGGGGCTATGGCTCGGAGGATCAGGTGAGTATATCTTTTTTGAGTTCTGCTTTAATAAAAATCTTATCAAAGTGAGATATTTTTTTGAAAGCTGTATAATAATATATGTATAAATATGACTGCTCTCTCTCTCTCTCTGCGCACTTGTTTGATAAGAAGACGATCTGAGGAGTTATATTTTCTTCAGGAGAGGAGGACAAACAGGGGAGAGAAAGAGACCGCCAGATACCACCGCATATAAGCTGAGATAGTTGGTCCTCCCTCCAGGAGGGAGCCGAAGTCCAGTCTACTTGCATTTTCTTTATTCTACATTGACCTACAATGAGCTGATCTACACCTGCTGTGTCTATCCTCCTGAGGAAGCCATAGTTGGCTAAACGCGTCAAGAACATTTGTATCACGTTTAGAAGCCACAAGAGGGCTCTTTGTCATCATTAATAGAATTTATGAATCATGATCTACTCTTAGTATCCTGATGGAATTACATCAAACTATATGTATTTATGAATATAGACCAGCAGTTGTACAATTGTCCTTATATGTATTCATCTCAAAAGAGAATTTCTATTGTATTTTAAATGTGTAAGTACCAAATAAATGTGAACTATAGGTTTTAACTAAGCAGGTCTGTTGTGTTGGCTCAAAAGCCCCTTCTTCCAATTGATAGAATTGGGATTGTACCCAGTCAGTTCACTATTAATGTTATTTGTTATTGGGGTGCATTCACTCAGACGTCCCTCCACTGATCGTTATGCTTATTGTCTGTAAGGGTAGCATTCTGACCACCACTTTATGCTGGGTAGCCCTACCACTGACTACAAACATAAGGAGCATTTTTCTTACAGACTCCCAATTAATTGAGCAGGAGTTCCCTGAGAGCTGAACATTTTTTCAAGGGTTCCTTTGGAGTTAGAAGGTTGTGAAATGCTTGTGTAAACTGTTTTACGGGGCCAGCAGTAAAGTAAATGATTCAGTGCATTCTGAAAAGAAAACTGCAGTCTTTTGGAATAATACAAATAAAAATAATAACAGTATCATATCAAGTTCTACTGAACTCTCACCTTGTTCTTGGTATACATGTGAGGTGCTACTTTGTTGAACAGCCAGGGGATTTCCTCCAGTGTATCATTGTTTATGACATGGAGTGCACAGACTGGGATGGTAGTATACATCTTGGGTGCGACCAGCATATCTTCTGAGACATGAAATACTTCCCTAGAAAACAGGGACAGTTTTTTTCTTACAAACAAAATATTTTATTACCATCTGAATAAATGTTACATTATTGCACTCTTCTTTACCTGAACACTACAAACCATGAGTTTGCAGGCTGATCTGCGTAGGTAACTGTATAATCAGTGAAGGATATCCTGTATCGATCATCTTCATAGCAGGAGTAATCATGTGAAGCAGCGCTGTGTTTGAATAAGTATCTACAAAATAATATATTTGGTTTAATTAGATACCAAATACACCTTGATTGTATTTTTGTAGGTTAAACTTAAGAGACCCTGTAACTGGGAGGAAAGGAAGGGGGGGGAGGTTTGGTTAACCCTTCCCTCCAGTGAGTCTTTTTAAGAAAATAATGCCACAGTTTCATCAGACTTAGAGTTTGTGGGCAGGCCACAGACTTTGAGCAGCTAGGCCACTGGGGAACAGAGCTTTTCAGACTGAAGATGCCAAACCTGGACTCACTGGCACTTTTCACATTGATGGATTCATGGTAAACCTTTAGTGCTACTAGTTTAGTGTAAGAGGCTAGATGTTAGAACAGCACTTTACAGCTGGTAAGCACAATCATGATTGCTAGTGCACTACTAATACTGTAAGCTTTACTGAAGGACATATTCCATGTCTATTTAACTGGCTAAATACAGAAATGATCTATTCTGGAGGAAGTATTATTAGTCAGGACTGTGTCAAGAGATAGGAAATGAAAGTGCTAATCTCAGGCCTCAAAAGTTAGCAATGTCCCAATGAACAGGTTTTTAACTATTACCTAAGTAACTCGTATTGTCACTTTTATGAGTGTCAGTGGCTGCAGGTGCTGAGATAGGCAATGAAAGAAACATGCAGTTGCCTTTTAACCTATGTACACTAGAATAATTTGATCTGGTTATTAGATTAAGCTATGACTCAGCTACCACTAAGCTCATTTTTACAGTTGTGGGCTTTGGCAGTTGTTTTGGAAAGCTCACAGAGAATTGAAGTGAAGTTTCACTCTCAAAGTGAACATACTCTACTCCTTTGGTAAATCTGGGTGAAATCTTATTTTATATAGTATATCTGAGAAATATTTAGTGGCAATGATTTTTTTATCTGATCCACTGTGTTTAGCAGTGACCTTTCCTTTGATTGCAACATCTACAATGCCCACGTCAACAACATTGCAAATACCGGTATTATACACAGCAAATCATACCTCAAAAGGCTAATACCACAGCGATCATCATTTGATTCAACAGCAACACAAATTTTGTCCAGCGTTGTCTTAACCATTGTATTTTCTTTGGTTCCTGAATTTTTAACAAAAACAGAGATGTTTATTATACCAGTAAATCATGTGCTATCAGTTGCATCTTCCTAGTAAATATTTTGGACAGACAGATTGATTAATTCTGTCCAATCCGCTGTTTTGCAACCAACCACTGCTAATTCTGCTGCAGCTGCTCAACTGGTTTAGGGATTATTAGACATATCAGAGTGTAAACCTGTATCATTTTATGGTTAGAGCTGTTAAGGATCATTAATTCTGTTATAACCAAAGAAGGTTAAACCAATCTATACAAATTTAGGTATGCCATAGTCCTCTTAGCAAAGAAAAAAAAAGCTATGCAATATTAGGGCACCATCTTGGCGTGCTTGACAGAGTTTATAAACATGGAACATACAAACGTTGAAACTGTATATATAGTATATTCATACCTACATACACGCACACAAAAATGGTCCTCTGTTCCTTTACACTCTGATAACCAGATCCTATATGATCAACCAGCTAATATACCAAAATCACATATTACATTTAACAGCCAAAAGAAATTTAAATAATATTTACAAGCAGAAAAATGCAGTATATGCAGTATATGCACAAGTATCAATGACAAAACATTCAAAAAGGCTGCATAGATAAAGCTCTATAGTGGGAGAAAAGAAGGCGAGTGCTGAAACTAGAAGGGGGAAAAGAAAATAGAGAAGGTGACCCTAGGATTACCAAACCATAAGGGTGGTGACCATGCCCCCTGAGAATGTTCTACACCAGGGGTGCCCACAATTTTTCATCTGGAGATCTACTTTTCAAATGACAAGCTCAACGAGATCTACCAACGAAAAGAAACCTGCACTCGGGGTCGGGAGGGGGCGTGGCAGTGCATTGAAGTCAATGGCAACGCAGGCACGCCCCTAGTGCACTCACCGCACATTAGTGCCTGCGTTTCGGTCTAGTGCGATCTGCAAAAATGCTGCATTTTTGCATAATTTTTGCAGATCGCGCTGGACCAGAACGCAGGCATTAATGTGCCTGGGTTTCGGGTGTGGGCGATCACACTGAGAGCGGGGGGCGTGGCTGCGGTGCCCCTCCTGCCCCTGAACGCAGGGAGCCGGCCGGCTTGTGTTCCAAAGAGGCCAAACACTGTGGAATGCAGACTTTGTGGTGTGAACCGGCCCTCTCTTCTCTCTCCCGTTTCTATCTGCTGTCTCTTCTCTCTCTCTGCTGTCTCTTCTCTCACTTTCTCTGCTGTCTCTCTCCTGTCTTTTCTTACTTCCACTGCAGCAGCTCTCTCTCCTTCCCGTCTGCGGCGTCTGACACATTCAGCCGCACGAGCACCGTGGGAGGACAGAACACAAGTCAGTGAGCCAATCGCGATCTATGTTCGCTTTGCGATCTACTGGTAGATTGCGATCTACCTAATGGGCACCCCTGCTCTACACATTACGTGGCAGGACCTGACTTTATCACAATTTACAACATTCAGATACCTTGAGGATACTAATGTTTTATTATTATGTATTTAAGTATAGCAGCCATTTTGTGGAGTTGTGCCTTTTTCCTTTGTATTTTAAAGAAGACTGTATTTTAAGAAAGTCTTTAGCAAACTAAACTGCACAAATCTAGATTACCGTACCTCCAGATCACGGACTGAAGATAGCTAAGCTAGGATGACAGTCATTTAGGTAGACCCCAATTAAAAAAGGGTTCCCTTATTGCACTTTACATACCTAAGGCTCCAATCACACATTAGCGGAAACGCGAAACACACTAAACATAAAGAATATTTATTTCCAATGTGTGTCCGTGCGGTTCAAAAACATGCATCCCACAAAAAAGTCCAAGTGCGATTTTCTAGGTGGATTCCGCGCGTTCTGGCTATAGTATGTTAAAGTTTGCTCGTTTGCATGCCGTGCATTTTTGCACGTGGAAAATGCTACCACTATGTGTGAATGGAGCCTAATTCTGGTTTTCAGGCCTGTAAGCAGGTGGATTCTGGTCTCACTTTTCTTATTCACCTTGGGGCTGGATATTATTGGTTTGCAGATATTTTGAATCAATTTGAGCTTAAGATCACAATTAGAGCTTGATTATTTTGCTCATGTGTACGATTAAAAAAAATTGGTATGCTCAGTTTAAAGATATTTTCCAGATAAAAAAATAAACCTTTTTTTCTTTTTGCATTTAAACCTCAGTTTAAAGTCCTGTTGCTTGGAAACTGAATATAGTCTACCTGTTTTACAAGTAAACACCTCTCATGTCTCATCTGTCAATGCTTCCAAGCACTATGAGACTACTTTTCAGATCTTATGCCTAATTGCTAGTCTCTTGCTGTGCCACATCATATTAAGATGAGAACAGATAAATCTGACAATTTATAAAGAGCTGTGTGTGGCATAGAGATGCCGCTTCTGATAAACTGACAAGAATAATCCAAGGAAACAGCAGAAAGCAGGAATAACATTTTGGAATTTTAGAATAAAGTGACATTCCTTGTAGAGCCTCCATAAAAAATGTCAATGCATTGCTACGTATCTGTAATTGGCCATCATGTTCTGAGAAGCTCAAACTGTGCCCTCAAAAGTTCCAGTCATACCCTATGTGAGCATAAAAATTCACACATAAAGGCAGTTTCAGATAGTGTCAGATTCCACTATCTGCTGGCCTCTCCCTCAGCAGGTTATAATGAGTTATTACATCCCAAGAGTCTCAAAGACAAATTGAGCAGAATTCTCTCTGTCCAAAATATTTATATTTCTCTTTATGAGACATTAATGGCTGTTACTATTGTAACTAGAAAGTACACTTTTCTGGATACCTGCCAGATCTACATATGGCAGGTACCACTTTCTAAAAGTGATTTGCAGGTAGGGTATGCTGTTGCTGAACAACAGAATAACAGCAGGAATCATAAAAAAACAAGTATTCCCTAAATGGTTCCCACTTAAACATGCACATTAGCCCCAAGCAACACTTGCCAAACATTACTTGATTTATCCACACACCTAAGTCACACCTACAGTTACCAATGACACAATAACACAGCTAAGGTAGTTATTAAGTATTTCTTTTTTCAATCTCAGTAAGTTATGGGGTAATGTAAGTCTATACATATGGTAGTTTGTAAAGCATGGATCCCATCCTCTTTGGGGCAATCAGAAGTTAGTTCTGCAGTCTCTAATATAGAGGGACAGAAGAACGAAGGCAGCAAAGTCCAACACAATGGGTTGTAAAGAACATGTAAATACAGGCCCCGTACTTAAATTTCCCCGATATAGGAACAGCTATAGGTTCCCATATCATCCTCTTTTTCAACATGTCTGGCTGCTATGATTAAGTACACAGATCTTTTTTCATATATTTATCCATGAGGTATAAACTCTTCCTAGTGTAGGACTTGATGCTTTTGCATGTATGCATATATGTGTAAGTAAAGTGCCCTTTCTATACGGATAACCAAACAATGGCATTTAATACATATTTGTATTTAACTACATAATTAGCCATTGATTTTAAACGACAGACTGAATTTAATAAAACAAATTTTGGGATCAAATTAATTCTTCAAGTTCATTAAGTTGTGTCACTATCCTGTATTCTGTATACTGTACACAATGCTGGCAATTTGAAAGTGAGTTTGATCTAAGATGCCGCACAAAAATGTTTTATTGTTTTTTTACTATGCTTATTTGTAAAAATGTTTTATTTATTCTTCTAGTGTACTAGACAATACATTCTAATGCTTTCTATGGCCTTCTTTAAATCAGGGGGATTGTCAACCTTCATGATTAAAAGAACTGGATTCAAATAAATGAAAGTGAAGGCCAGCCAGGCTGAGGAGGAAAAAGCTAGATGATGCTGAATGTCCTCCAGTAATGAAGTTAGGTGACCTCTCACTGCAGCTTCTAATGCACACTGTGAGAAGTTCACAGTATTTTGTAAAATCAGAGTAATTAATTTCAGTACAGGAAAGGACCATGTACAACTGTGCAAGACTAAAGGTACATTTGGAGTTCAGCTTAGGGTCTGGCAGACCATAACTATCATGTGATACATTCATTTTGAGAAGCACTAAATTGGAAGCTGGTTTGGACCACAGCAGTATTTCTTAGGTTAAACTTTCCATTTTAATTTACCTGATTTTCTGGCGTTCCAGCATTTCATAACAAACAGTCCTCTCCACCAAGCTTGCAGTTTAATTGCACCCGTTTCTTCAAATGCTGTAGCTGTTCTATTTTGCCAAGAAGCAGGGACTTCAGATTTTGATTCTAAAATACACATTGATTTTCAAATTAAAAAATTTCAAGGAACATACATCTGTTTACTGTATTGTCACCTGAAAGTTAGTCTGCTGGAAATGTATGTCCAATTTTTGGACAGATGGGGCATACAAGAAGTGCAAACCTTCACCAAACGCATTTTCCAGAGGTGAGGGGTGATTCTGTCCCATACAAACCCTACAGTGGCATGCACACATCTGAGATTTCATTTTCCAGTTGATGTTGAGTTGCACCTTAAAAATCTAAACTAGGTTTACACATGGCAATTGTTTATCATCTACTTTAACCCCTTCATGACTGATGACGCACAGTGTACGTTGCTAGCATCGGGCTGTTTAAACAGACTCCCGGCGCAATCTGTTTAAACTTGTAAAGCCGACTGTCGGCTTTACAATAGAAGCGATTCTGGTGACTCTATGGCCCGATGAAGGGGTGCCCCCCGCCCGACACCCCCGTTGTGCTTCCCGGGCTCCGTTGCCCCTCCTACGGGCCCGGGATTGGCTTCTCTGGTGTCGGCAGGGAGCTGGTGAGGAGATGGACGAACCTCCGTTCGCCGATCCCCTCCCTGTTCTATTGGACCGGGAGCGATACAGATTGCATCACTTCCGGTCCCAAAGCTGTCAGTGCTGAGGTCCTGAAGCCCAGCTATAAGCTATTGAAGGGCGATCTGCACTTCAATAGCTTATTTGGAGTGTAAAGGTGACACTGGGGGTCTTTTGGACCCCCAGTATCACCTTAACGAGTACCCCCTATGTAAGCCCCATCCCCCCTGTAAGCCCCCCTATGTGATAACAATTAAAGTAAAAAAAATAACAGGTTTTAAAATTAAATAAAATAAATCTAAAAATAATAAAAAAAAATTTTTAAAGTCCCCCGTGAGCACGTGCGTCGCCATGTAAACACTCGTTGGGTGCTACTACGTATGAAAAAGGACGAACACGCTACACATGTTGGGTATCGCTGCTCACACCGGAGTGAGAGTAATAATTCTAGGGCAAGTATTTTTGGTATCTCTAAATTGATGACCTGTGGGGGCTTTTAAAGCGTCGTCTATGGACTTTTTGGGGTACTGACGTTTGTCGCCGTTTCACAGACGCACACATTTTTTAAACTGGGCATGTTGGGTATCTATTTACTTGTTGTAACCTCATCTTTTATATTTTATTTAAAAAAAAATTGTATTTTATTGTGTTTTGGGGCATTTAAGTACATTTTTCACTAAATGTTGGCATTTAATAAGGAGTTGCGCTAATATCGTGCAACATAAAAATGTTCAACTCCCACCATTTTATTCTATTGGGTCTTGGCTTTCAGAAAATATATAATGTTTGGGAGTTTTTCCGGCCTAAGTAATTTTCAGGCCTAAAATGTGGAATATAACATGGGTGCACAAAATGAAAAAAAGGCCTCAGTCATGAAGGGGTTAAAGAAGAACTTGATCTAACACTTTAACTGTCCCCCAAAACAGATCATTTTAAAGCAAACCAACTGTTAAGGTTGTCAGTGTGCTTATTTCATCTTTGAAGCCCTCAAATGTTGGTGTCATAACTAATCACATGTGCAGCACCACGGCAACTGCAATCCAAATAGAGGCTAAGGTGACACCTTCCTTGGCTGTAAAAGATAGGGGGGTGTAGACTTTAAGGATAATGTATGTAATAACATCAGTTGACTACCTGAGTTTACTACTGAATAAGAACCCCCTGACATCCAGTCAATACATGTGGGAAATATTTCTTACTGCCAGTTTTCAGCCCCTCAGTTCCCAGTTAATGAAGCATGCCAAGTCCGGCAACAATAGGCAAATTATAAGAAGAGAGTGATGTTTTGTTTTATTTTTCCTAGTTTGTATTTGCTATTATTAAATGCACACACATATATATATAGAGAGAGAGAGAGAGAGAGAGAGAGAGAGAGAGAGAGAGATCTATATCTATATATATTATGTTCTGACAATACTTGATTAGGCATGATTAGAAATGTAACGATTTAAACAAGGTTAGATTTAGTACATTTAAAAAAAATACCTTGTAAGGAAGGAGATTCTGTAGACAAAATAGTGGAAAAATCCAATGTGAAGGCTCGAAATGCAAATACCAAGTCAAACGTAATTTTGTTTCCCACAGCATCTTTCATAAGTTTCCACAAAGCAATGTTAAAAGCCTGAAATAAATTACAACCAAGTTCGGAAAAACTGAGATAAATGGGGAAAGAATCATTTATTATCGGTCATATAATTGGTCATATAATGAATACACTATGGAGCTTATTTATGAGTGTAGTTTAAGTGCAGCTAAGTGTAGTTTAAGTAAGGACCTCACAAATAGCCTCACATTTGTCTCATCAAAAATACATCTCATAATACCCAATACATGTTTATTAATCTCAGCCTTTTACTGAAAGGCCTGCGCAGGGATATGGCAATCTATGCTTTGTTTTAACCTAACTTAATCACTAACCTGGTATATGCAACAGGATGATGGCAGTGAGCTGCCATAGGTCATAATGGCAGTTCTTATCTCCACCTTAGTGCATGCAATGGCTTACTGCTAATATAATCCATGTAATTCTGCATTATCACCTTAGCAAGTGTGCACGGCTGTGTGATCGCTATCTGGCTGAAATGAAATTCAGACTGATGTAGCTCTGGGAAGGCCGAGCAGTAAAAAGATGAGAAAAACAAATATTTTAGCTATGGGGAGCAACTTATAAAGTAGTGGTGTGGCCTTACCACAGATATAAATCTGTTTTAAAAAAATACTGCCACTTTTATAAAGCGCAGCAAAAAGTGGTAGGAAGGGAGCCAGATATGTGACCTGTTACCTTCATCAGACAGGCCTCTCCTCCAGTCCACAGATAACTCAGTGGAACACCATAGGCTACACACAGCAATCTGCATTTCATAAATCAACTTGTAAAATGTTGGTACAGTGTGGAGTAAACATTGCAACGGAGAGCACACAGTAATATCTGCTCTCACTTTTAAATGGACCCTCAAATGTCTGCATTTCATACCTGCAACGGCCCTCCCCCCACATACATCTTTAAAGTGCACAGAAATATAATTAACCATGTACTCTGTACAGATGGTCAGATCAGATGACTGAAACCGTCGGTAGCTATCGAAACCTAAGTTACAAATTTTGGATGGGCTTAGTGCCTTATTTGAAGTCTTACACATGTTTATCTCTTTATAGTCCTATGTCCCTGCAAGGTATGATTTGCAACTTATTTTTGTTTTTTTATCTTATGAGAATTCACTTCTTCTAGTCCAGTGTTCTTTGCTGGAAGAGCTGAGTAACAGCCACACCCCTCAGTACAAGTGCCTTCACATAGACTTGTACGTTAAAGGAAAAGAGGGGGTCTGTCTCACTAGGTTAGATTAGTGCGTGCACTAGGTCAACCAGTTGCCTAACTGGCTGTTCAGTCACATTTAGACAACTTAGACAAGTTGGACTTTAAAGGAGAACTATGAGGTGAGTGCTTTTCACTCACCTCATAGTTCTAGCCGACTTGTGACAATGAGACTGTCACAGGTCGGCTCAGCAGATCGGGAGTTGAGCGAACACATACCGGCATTCGCTCACCTCTCGATCCTGTCACGGCTCTCTGCTGTGACAGGGGAGGGGCTGGATTCCCCCCTCCCCGCTCCGATCCGCCAGCGCCAGGGGCGGGTACAGCTGGCTCTGCCTCTAGATAGGCAGAGCCAGCTGTCGGTCACGCTGCTGGGTGGATCCAGACATAAAATTGCTGGGATCCGCTTCAGCTGCGGCGTCTTAGTATACAGTGAGCAGCAGCTCGCGGTATGCTGAGCCTAGGTTGATGGGAGCACGCTAGTTTGTGTCCTCCTGTTACCCTAAGGAGAACTATGGGGAAAAGTCTTAACCCCATAGTTCTCCTTTAACTATAAATGCTCTTGTTAAGACTGCATTTTTTTACTTTTGTCTTTAAATGTTTACAGATGCTAGCAAAATATTTATAATTTGCTTCTAAAGACCAATTTTTAGTTCAAAATTCAATGGAGAAAAAACAGAGGATACTCTGAAATTTCTTATAATTGTGAATTCTTACAGCTGACTTAATTCAAAGTCCAGCGAGGAAACCTTCTTAAGGTGCCCATACACCTTACAACCATCACAAGGCTTTTGTCTTGCGATGGTTGTAAGCTAATTAAAAGCTTGTACGATCTGTCTATCTTGGACAGGCAGATCATACTTGCGATTCACGAAAGCCTGCCCCACTGATGGGCGGGCTTTCGATGACCGCAATGCTGAACGGGCAGTGTGAGCGTGCGCGCACCGGCCCGTTCCGCAGTTGTCAAACGATCAGGCTAGAAACCCGCCGAGAACCGTACAATTCTCGGCGGGTTTTCTAGCATGCTGGTTCGACAAAAGACGTGCAACCCTACAGTAAAAACAGTCGCACGCCTTCCATACACCTTGCGATTATCGCACGATTGCGGGATTTCCCGCGATTATCGTAAGATAATCGCAAGGTGTATGGGCACCTTTAGTAACAAATCATCAGAATAAAAGGAGCAAAAATGTGTTTGTACCAAAGACAAACACTCCCAGTTTTCTGCTTTAGGGCTGCAACATTTTCACACATTTGTTTACAGGGTTTTAATAAAAAGATAAATATATTCACCTTGAAGTGTTCTTCGGTTTTTCCCAAGTGCTTTGATTTGATTTGCTCAGAATAGTGTGCTAACTTCAACTCTTTAAATGTCCTAGCCAATTCATTTTCATTGCTAAAGTTACGCATCACATTTAATATAGCGGTTATTATACTTGTTGCCTTCCCCATAAAGCGGTAGCTTTCCTGTAAAAAAAATAAAATAAAAGCCAAAGATGTATCTTTTTTAGTTCACGGGACACTACAAAGAAAACTGACAAATAAATAACAATATTCAGGTTAAATAGCAACATTTAGGGCCAGTTCACACCATATGCAGTTGTGATGCAGTCCGTTTATTTTGACTGCTGCAGTCAAAATACATCGCAATGCTTTCCTACGGGCTTTCTTGTGCTTAATTCACACCATTGCACTCCGTTCAGATGCAGTCAGAAAAAGTACTGCTTGTCCTATTTTACCTGCATCAAACTGCATCGATACGCATCAAAACACAGTGCAAACGCATAGCAAATGCATCAAACGCACTGGAACGCATACAAAAAAAGGACTCAGAATTGATTATGTCATCACCGAGGGACTTCCTGTTTGTAGTGTGGAGAGAAAGTGAAGAGATGGAATTTGTGGAAGCAGATGATTTCATCCAATATGCGCAGGACTGTCCCCTGCTGTATGACAGCAAACATCCCCAATATAAGAATAATCGCCAGAAGATGGCAAAGTGGAGGGAGATTGCTGAAAAGTTGCACCCAGGTTTTGGGGCTATGGGCCGGGTACAGAAACAGCGATGTGGTGAGTTCACTTTCACAAACTTCTATATAAGGTCTGTCTAATTAGCATTTTCTAGTGCAGAAAAAAAACGCATTGAAAACGCATCATAACACATTGCAAACGCATCAAAACGGACCGCAGTGCAACTGCACAGACGCACGCAGTTGTGATGCAGTTTCTGGTCTGAACCGGGTCTTACAGGACGTGAAGCACTTGATGACTTAGGGTTATTCTTTTTTTATTTAATCACTCTACCAATAAAAATGTATAAAAGATCCATAACCACACTCCTTAAGGATATCGAATCAGGAAGAGGCATTTGCGGGCAGCACAGTGGCATAGTGGTTAGCACTTTTGCCTTGCAACACTGAGGGTACCTGGTTCAAATCCCAGTCAAGATAATAGCTGCAAGGAGTTTGCATGTTCTCCCTGTGCTTGTGTGGGTTTGCTCGGGGGACTCTGGTTTCCTCCTACACACCAAAAACATGCTGGAATGTTAATTGGCTCCTATCTAAATCTGCCCTGTGTTTATGTGAGATAGGGATCTTACAGTGCCTTGAAGGCAGGGACTGATGTAAATGTGCAACTATATAAAGCATTGCATAAATTGTCAGCACAATATAAATAAATACAGTTAAAAAATTCTAGATTTGCACGTTTAAGTTGTTAAAATAATGCAGCCTTATCTCTTATGAATACCTGTGTGTGCTGTTATTCACTTTTATTTTGTCCTTGTCAGACCAGAAATGTCAGACCAGTGTCAGGCTAATAGGCCCTTGTGTAGTCTAACCTGTTTCCTGCCTGAGCTCAGGATTGATACATAATAATTTGTCTGCTTTGCTGGAGAAGGAAAAACTGGTTATTATTGAAGCATTTTCATTGTTTTCATGTAATCATGACATCATATTTGTTAAATGAGAGTTTGAGTTCTTGTTATCAGCACTGAGCTGAGGCAAGAGACAAGACAACATTACAGCCCGAGATGCATTCTGACACTTTTGTTGACAGGGAGAAAACAAGTAATAAAACAAAAAAATAATGTAATAACTAAGAGGCAGATCTGCAACATTTAGAACATTTAAGAGTTGAGATTCAGATCAATACAGATGCCCGTTGGTGACAGTTTTTTTAAAAACAGAACTGAAGGCAAAACTTTTGTTTTAGTTTTGGATAAAGTAAGGCGGGTTATAATTCCTGTTAGCTTTCTTTGCCATCTGTGCCCCATTGGGGAGATTTCCCTTCACTTCTTGACCAATTGCTACAACAGGAAGTAAGAGGAAATCCCTCACCCTATCACCAGAACTAGTGTCCCCATTAGAAGATTTACCATCTATTCTTGTTCTGATGACAACTCAAAATTTAGGATTTTCTTTTACTTTCGCTCACAGTGATAAAGTGACGGGATAAATGATCACAGTGATAAAGTGACGGGGACAAATAAAAAGGGTGAATCTCAAGAATGGGGTCAGAGACAGCAATAAACATTTGACATGTGTTCTAGGGATGCACCAATAGGTGCCGAGTATTCTCCGATGCCTAGCCCGATACTTCCGGTATCAGGAAGCCAGGCAGCAAGTCATTACACCCATGACGAGGGACCATGAAGGCGGCTTCCCTGCCAATCGGGAAGCTGGGCACCACGTCATTACACGGTGCCCGACTTCCTGATTGACCAGAAAGCCGGCTCCATGCTTTCTCGTAACCTAGTGACAAGAAGCATGGGGACGGCTTCCCTGCTAATTGAGAAGCCAGGTGGCGAGTCTTTACATGCCGCCCGGCTTCCTGGCTAATCAGAAAGCCAGGTGGCAAGTCATTACACGCATAATGCAGTGAGGTCCTGACAACAGGCTGCTGTCCAAGAAAAGGATGAAGGCTAAACAATTTCCATACAGAAGGAGCACCTTTGGAGTAAATAATGTATGTAATGGCTATGTGAGAACTGTAATGGTGTCTCCAGGAAAGGGGCATGTACAGAGCTAATCAGGATAAAAGAAATGTGCTGGGTAGAGGGTTAGCAGGTTCTGGTGTAGCAGACACAGGGAGTGGGAGGTGAGGGCTGTAGAGGAGCATCAAGATGACAGTTTGCTGGAGGTAAATACTGAACAATATTACAAATGAAGCAGTAGTTAGGAGGAGCAGACAGGTTTATCAGAGACACAATCTTGATTTCACTTGAACACAGAATGGGAGTGGACAATATTGACAGGGAACAAAAGGTGGTCACAGTCTGAAAGCAGAAAGAATCTCCGTCTTCCAAGGTCAGCTTTAAATACAAATAGTACAGAACAAGAAGTGTTCCCAAGAACGCACTTTATTATTAACATTGCATTGGGAGTATGCATATTCCAAGATGGTTTACTGAAATTCATAACTGCCAGGGTTGTGATTTAGAATGAGGGAAATTTGTTAACACAGTATCTGGAACAGTTGCCCATATTAACCAATCAGCTTCTATCTTTCATTTTTCAAAACTTGGCTGAACAGATTGAAAAGAGAAGCTGATTAGTTACTATGGGCAACTGTTAAAGGAGAACTATGGGGTTAAGTCTTTTCCCCAAAGTTCTCCTTAGGGTAACGGGAGGACACAAACTAGCCTCCTCCCATCACCCTAGGCTCAGTATACCGCGAGCTGTAGCTTGCGGTATACTGAGACGACGCAATTGTGCCGGGATCCGCCCAGCTGCGTGACTGACAGCTGGCTCTGCCTATCTAAAGGCGGAGCCAGCTGTACCCGTCCCCTCCCCCGTCCGTTCCGCCAGTCAGCGCTGGCGGATCGGAGCGGGGAGGGGGGAATCCAGCCCCTCCCCTGTCACAGCAGAGAGCCGTGACAGGATCGAGAGGTGAGCGAACGCCGGTATGTGTTCGCTCACCTCCCGATCTACTCAGCCGACCTATGACAGTCTCATTGTCACAGGTTGGCTAGAACTATGAGGTGAGTGAAAAGCACTCACCTTATAGTTCTCCTTTAAGATTCTGTTTGGCTCAGCTTTGATAAATGACCCCCATTGTATTTGTCTGTTTTGTATATAATGTCTAACAGTTATAGTTGGCCTCTATACCATCCTGTTCTATTATTTACTAATAAATATGTAAACAATACAAAAATACAAATAAATGTAAATTATTGCTCTGATTACAGTATAACCCAGAGTTTGGGATTTTCTTTCACTTTTAGTGACACAGACAACAATGAAAAACAAAAAATAAAAAATGATCTTTCTCCACTCTATCTAAAATTAAAACAAAAGGTTTTGGCTTTGGTTGCACTTAAAAGAAAAATATGTATTACATGGTACAATTTGTCTGTGTAAATACACATAATATGCACTTTGATGTTAACATTTCTTTATGAGGTTATAAAGTGAACTTCGAAAATAAATCTCAATATTCTTAAAGAGAAACTATAACAATTTTATTGTTAAAGTTTAAATATTTTATTGAAATGCTATATTTTCTATGTATATAATAAAAAAACCAAAAAACATTAAGTCAGAGTGCACCCATGACAATATTGTGCACCCATGATACAGAGCATTATGTGTTTATAAAGGGTAAGCATGTTTAACTTCAGATTACCTTTCTCACTGAACCATTACCGGCCTGTCTGAACAGAGCAGGCAGGGAAGAGTAAGGAGGCATGGTGGTAGTAGCATCTCCATTCATTCATTTGAATATGCAAATTTCAGCTTGAGCTATTGACCTCTGCAAACAACAAGCTTGCATCAACAGACCAGCTTTAAAAGGCAGCCTTAAGCCTCAACTGCTTATGCAATCCCTTATACTGCATACAAACCTATACAGGTAGACACTAAACACTCAAATGGACACAGGCAGAAATATACTTTTGCGCACAGGCTGTCAGATGCTTGCAAACTTGGCCAAGGAAAGAAGAACACTGACAAATGAACCCTTTGCAGGTGAATTAGTTACACAAAGAATAATGTTAACCAATATCATCAAACAGGACTGATGATTTGCATGATCTGACCCAATTTGTGGTCAGCATCTTATGCACTAATGAATCAGAAAATCATAATTTGCATGAAAAGTATTAGATTTAGCACTATGCCTTTCTTCAGTTGATACACAGACCTTTTTGTATATCTTTAGTTACCCATGTGACCAGCAGACTATGGGCCTGCATATAAAAAAATCTACATTGTTCATTGCAACTGGATTGCTTAGAAAATTGCAGTTGGAGTTTTATTGGTTACTTGGAGCAACACAGGTTTTTTTCCACCAGTTTCCAAATCTCTCTTATGAAGCATGCTAATATACTTGAAACTTTGCATATCAGTTTACACTGGTCCTTTTTCTAGCAGAATGACAATGGTCACTACTAAGTATTTAATCAGCAGAGTTTTTTAAATCATCTGTATGACATTTTATTAATAGCTTTGCAGCTTTAAACCATGAAAACTAAACAGGATAATTACTAACCAATTAGCTGAAGGCAGCTATGAATTATAGCATACATCCTAAAAAATGTTTTAAGGGGCACTTGAGTTCACTTAAAAACAGTCTTCTAAATCAACGTAGCTGTAGGCTTAAAAAAGAACATGATATTTGATCCAGGGCACTGCAATCAGTATAATTGGCTGTAGTGTAACTATGAGGTTCCAAGAGTTGTGTTTTTTTCCTTTCTTGGGTGGAGTGTCTCGTAGGAAACTTTGAAATCCCTCTGTCCCACTTTCCTCCTCAATTGTCTCTCTATATGGTCCAAAGTATAGACCTCTATAATTATGTACTGTTCAATCTCTTAATAATTGCATCTGCATTTTTTAAAAGCCAATATTAAGGCTGCAAGTGGCAAAAAAAGCACTCATGAGTTTAAACAATCATTTTTGGATATACATTTTTCATGTTCACGTAACTGGGAGGCTGACAGGGGTGTATCCTTATGCTACATATTTCGTATTTAAAGTTGTCCGTCTTTCCCATTTCAGAGAGTTGGGAGGTATGTTGCACATATGCTTTTGTTAACCACTGCTGTTCTATTATGTTTGCGGAAGTCAGGGGGAGTTATCAGAATCCTGAAACAGCCATTATTCGGCTTCCAAAAACTGTTTACTGCAGTGGTTTTTACCACTGGAGATTTTAGCAGTAGGTACAATATTGTTCATGAGCAACAGAGAGAACACTTTACAAAAAAAAATCTAATTTAGCCATGCATCTTATGTCACTCATCACTGTTTTAGTTTTTTCTCCCTGTCTCTATTTCCCTTCTCTCCTTTTTTTATCTTTCTCTTATCGCTTTCTGTCTGGCTTTACTCTCTATCTATACACTCTCTTGTGTTCTCAGATCTAGAATAACTTTGTTTGAAAGGATTATAGTTTTCTTACCTGGTAATATTAACTTTCCTTGACAAAGATATGTCTTATCTCTACTGTGTGTGTGTGTGTGTGTATATATATATAATGTAAATGGGTATGCCGTATTAGTCCAGTAGACTAGATGTAAAAAAAAAAAGTATTGCAGTATGCAATGACATCTTTCTTATTGGACTATTGGATAATATTCGAAAGACAAGCTTTCGAGAGTTGACCTCTCTTCTTCAGGTCAGAAGCAATACTAATAAACATGACATAGTTTACCAGTTAAAGAAAGAGAAAGTTATTAGAAAAGGGGAGAGGGTGGAGTGAGTGGGGTGTCATGAATGTTGGAACTGGGAGTGAAGAATGCATCCTGATAACCAAAGGCCAAAACAAATAAACATAGGATGACCAATAAACACCTTAATACATTAGAGATATAGGACATTACAAAGTACTGTATATCATAAAAAGTTCTGGTAGTGTGTCAGGAATCCACATTAAGTCCCTCCTTTATGGTGTTGAGATGTAAAATAATTTTCATCTCAAATGTTTTCCTTTTATGAGAGCCTTCAAAATTCCCTTTGAGTACCTTCATTTTGAAATTTTGTATGGAGTGATCTTTCCGGGAGAAGTGATATCCTACTGGGGTGCAATTTTTGTTTTCGTGGTTATTAATCGAGCTCCTGTGTAGGTTCATCCTGAGATGCAGCTTAAGGCCAGTTTCCCCAATATAACAACCTTTGTCACATGCTGAACACTGTGTCACGTACACCAGGCTAGCAGATGTGCAATGGTGTATGTTTTGTTATTGTGACTAGCTGTATTTTTGTCATATACAGTATACAGTATGTTGGCAAAGTTTGCAGCAGGGTTTATTGCATCGCACTGTGCCATTCTATGTAGGCTCCTGTTCTGGGGTCAGCTTACTGCGTACCAATCTTTTTCTCAGGTTCGGTGGTTGCTTATAAGCCAGTATTGGGGGCTGAGGGAATATTGCTTTAAGTATGAGGTCTTCTGATAGTACTGGCTGTAGGTCTTTGATGATATTTCCTCTAGGGCATAGTTGTAGGTAGCTACAAGAGGGCTCCTGGTTGGGTTTTTCTTTTCTTTGTACTGTAGGAGCTGTGTGTGTATATAAATATATACACACACACACACACATATACATACATACACAACAACTTTGGTTCAGCTTTAGTGGACTAACCTACTTTATTGAGAATTTATTTCACTGACATGTTGAAAATGCATAGGTTTTATTTTTGTGTACATTGTCATGGTGAGATGTACATACTGTAAGTCTATTATATGACCCTGTCAAAATGCATTGACCTAATATCTCTGCTAAAATGTTTGCATTTATTAATTTTTTTAAACAGCAAAAAAAATGGTGATTATATACAATGTAGCCACTCATGTAAGCATTCAAAAGTTCAACACTGGTATATCACCCTTCAAGCATATTCGATAAATCATCTTACAAGTCACTAGAGTCTGTTAGAAGATGTATTTACTGTAAGTATGTTCAGGCAATCATCTCAGAAATATATTTAAAACAAATGTTTTCAGTATTCATAGTGAGTTTAATACTATTATTATAATTTGTTTAATGGTGTGATGTTCAGCCATTGCTCATCCTGGATATGAAGTCAACCATAACCACTATAAAACAGCCACATTTTACATTTAGTTAAAAGAAACAATTGTATGTTGGAATTTACACTTTTAAGATGTTTGCTGTATTAAATGTGACCAGGTGACAGCACATGCACATTTTATATAAGAATTAGTGTCTAAGCCAAATGTGGGTTTGTGATCCTAATAGGTGGAAACATACACGTATCTTACTGGGATTTGAGCATGTTCCTTTCCTGTAGTACTACTTAATATTTATGGTATCCCTGTAGTATTTCATATTGGAGTCAGGTAAGTCTTGTTAACCAAAATAAATCATTTTTTTGCGGTATTGTAATTAAAAAAGGGTGAACAACCTACAGTGAAAGACTCATTAACAGTGGCTGAAGCAGTTCAGCACACTTCGCAACTTAGGTCAAGATACCTTGTTGCCAAAGTCCCTTAAAGAAATTCAGTCCATTGGCATCTGCCCTTAACTGAATTATCTGTTTTGTATTAACTGACTCCATCAGTTGGCGTTCATCGGTGAGTTTGTTTTAAAGTTACTATTGCCTAAGGTACAGCATAACAATGAACTTCATTCCATTCTTTATAAAAAAAACATTTACATTGTTGTCTTTTTCTAAAAGTAAAGTGAAATACAATGAGAATACCATAAATCATGTACAGTGACCTAGTAACTCGCTAGTTTCTATGGGAACATGTACCTTGTCAAGATATGGCATAATAGTTTCCTCATCCCCAAAGACAAATGGCACTGTACTGCATAGGTGGATATGATGCCCTAAGGGTGAACTTGCAGTGAAGTGTAAGACATGACGCCTGCAATAAAAACATCCAATGATTATCTAATAAAACATTTCAAGAGTATTTTCATGCAGAACTTTCTTTTAAATGCCTTTCTATGAGGCAAAAATATATCTTGGGCTTTTTTTCTATTAGTATTCTTATAAATATACTGAGTGTTTGTATTGTATAATGTATAATTTTCACAGAAACTGTTAAAATACTGCAGCTTAAATGATCACTGTATTTTTAGTACATTTATCCCTATTAGGCCCTGACACGCTGAAATTTCATACTTACCTACTTAGATCTTTGCTGTGTGGACTGCATGACCGCAAACAGCTTTTTCTTCAAAATTCCCCCAGCTGTCTCTACTCCTCAAGTGCATGTGCGCCGCAAACTACATTAATTCCTATGGTAAGGACATCAACCACAAAGACAAGGTTTTCCATTGCAATGATGAATGGAGATGGCAGTGCATTTACACAGGAGTAGAGTCTCGCCGGGAAAATTTTGAAGGGGTGCAGCACCAAGCAGGTAGAGCGGGGACAGGTTAGTATTAGACTTGGAATAAGGGATGGCAATGGAGCTTAAAATGGATAATGGTACCAAGTAAAAAAAAAACCTGTGAACTCTTTCCCACTCTATCCAAAACTAAAAAAAAGTTAAAACATTTTGGCTTTAACATTAATTGAGCCACGATACTAACCCAGGAGGAAGACTTATCACAGACGCTTTGTTCACATAAGTATTTAGCTTTAACACAACTGGTCCACTCAGGAGGCTTTTCCAAGAAAACTGTTCTGCTAATAGAGTACCTTTTTGTCTTCCAGAATATGGTTTCGCTGTCAATAGAAACATTAGAATATAATAACAATAAGAACAATAAACATACTACAAGGACTTGGTGTTTGGTAATACAATTGGGGCAGGTCACTTGTAAGAGTTACAACACTAATTTATTTAACTTATCTGGTCATATGACTTGCTTTCTACTATATATTACTAAATCAGTACCCCTTTTACTTGCTTTCATTAATTTTCCTTAATGTCTGTCCTAAGCAATTTGTCACTGGGAGCTGATGTCAAGGTCCTCAAGATACACATCTCCTAAGGATATCAAGATTCTGGGGATGAACAAGTATGCAGAAAATTGGCATACATCTTGGTGCACTGCAGTGCAAGTTTGTGGTGTTAGGGCATTTGTAAGTTCAAAATAAGTACCACCACAATGCAACATGCACCATGGTGTTGCATGTTACTGCAATGCATAAATATGAATCAGCCCTTGTGGTATCATTTAAAAGAGAACTATGGGGTAAGTGTTTTTCCCCATAGTTCTCTTAAGGGTCACGGAAGGACATATACTAGCGTCTTCCTGTGACCCAAAGCTCAGTATATCGTGAGCTACAGCCCGTGGATAATGCTAGCGAGATCCACCCAGCTGCGTGAATGACAGCTGGCTCTGCCTATCTAGAGGCAGAGCCAGCTGTGCCACCCCTCACCCGTCTGTTCCTCCAGTCAGTGCTGGAGGATTGAAGCGGGGAGGGGGGAATCCCTGCGGGGAGCGGTGACTGAAAGTCACGGCTCTCTGCAGGGAGATGATCGAGAAGTGAGCGAGCAACGGTATGCGCTCACTCACTTCCCGATCTATTAAGCCAACATGTGAGTTTCATTGTCACACGTCGGCTCGAACTATGAGAATTAGTGATTTTCACTCACCTCATAGTTCTCCTTTAATGTTTCTTAAACAGTAAAATACAAATGTATAAGGAAAAAAGGCAAAAAAGTGTATTTTCTTAAGTATCTCCTTAAATTGTTCAAATTGCTATCCTAAGTCTACAATCAGTCTACATCCTCAGCATACAATGAAGTAATCAGGAATATATTTAGACCCCTGATGTCGCCAATAAAAGCACCATGTGTATACTGTAATAAAAAAAAAAAAAATCATACAGTCACAACATGTCTCTATACTCATAAAACAGTTTTAAGTAAACGGAGGCATATCCTTATTATAATACACACAGTGGATATCCCCACACATTTGAGTTTTTTTGTTTTTATAATTCTTTATTTTCAAATTTCAAGAACAAAAAAAAAAAATTAAAACCAAGACAACAGTAACCAAAGCAGTGAAACATACATACTTAGAGCAGGTAATTGTGGACATGCTCCAAAGATTATCCCACAAGCCCAAATATATGATATCAACATCTGATACCTAACCAATAAACATAACCTAATACCGATACACATCAGTCTTTGTCCCCTCTAATAAGCCCACCATTTGCACCCAGACCATATCCATATCAACTGAAAATATTCTATATCAAAATCCCAAACCCAGGAGAGGAGCAGGTTATAAGCAAAAAGAGGCCTTTCCCTCTGTCCCTTGACTCCAAAGAGCTATGGACCCCTAGATTGCTTAAGAAGAGCAAAAAGTTAGCATGTCAGCCATGTGGGCCTACCAAGGATCATCGTAATGAAAACTAATATGAAGAAAAAAAATGAACAGGACAGATATAGAAAGAGAAACCAACCAAAAAGTAGGGATGGAATTGGAGAGAAAAGGACCGGAAGGGGAAAGGAAATGGTAAGGAAAGAGTAAAGAAAAGGAAGGGAAAGAGCTCGGTACTCTGAAGTAAAAATAAACTCATTCAATAGAACCAAATGTTTCAGAACTCCTCATCCTGCTAAGTCTTACCAGCCCGCAAATCTTCAATGGTCTTCACCCACCTTGCTAAATTTATTTGTTCCCTACTTGCCTGGCAGTAGAAGATGTGGACTGTTTCCAGTACAGCGGTATACAAGCTTTAACCGCAATATTTCTGTCTGTCCCAAGCTGCACCCCAGTAAGCTTGCAGACAACATCACGCACCGCGCCCCAAAATACCTGCAATTTCAGACAGCTCCAGAGTACGTGGAGCATGGTACCTTCATGTTCGAGGCACTTCCAACAAAGAGATGAGCACCTTGAACCCTGTACCAATAAATATTTTTGGGACCCTGTACCAAATGAGATAAAATCTTGAACCCAGCTTCCTATATTTTGCTCCCCATGAACACACAATTGTGTTTTACGACTAATTTTTGGGACATCACTTAAATATAAAGTATGTGAAGTAGGAAAGATTTTAAGTGTAAGTCACTTCTTTACAAATATGCAATTTTCACTGTTCCACCAAAACACACAATATTACATTGAAACATAATTACAGTGTTTGTTAATATAATGCTCTACTCAGCTATCTCAACTATCATGGAAAGTACAGAACCAGCAACACCATTTTTTTCATTTTGTACATCCTGTCAGAAAATACATGGTTTGGGTAGGCTTACACAAACTTTAAAGTCTTCAATGTTTATGTAAAAAACAGCAAAAATGGCACATCCACCAGAGGAGCAAGGGTTAAACTAAAAAATCAGCTTTACTATAAATCCAGGGTATTGACCACGTGCAACAGTTTACTGTAGCCAGGTATAAGCTGAAATCTAATTGCCTACTTTATTGCTTTGTACTTTGTTACCCTTTATAAATAAGCCTGAAAGTATAATCTCTGTTATATCTAGTTATGTCTTGCATTGTATTTTTAATACTTACGGTGTGAATCACCAGAGTACACCAGGGCTGAAAAGCTAACCAATATTTCCGTAGGCTTCACATTGTCAACAAATAGAAAGTAGGATCCTCGATCTCGATCATCTGTTGTCTGAAAAATGCAAAGCAACCATTTATTATTTATGTTAGCATTTAGAATTTTAGGCTACTGTTACCACATGCATTTCTTTGTTTAGCATATACTTAACAAAGGCGCAAACTACAACATAATATTGGAACACAAATCAGAGACTGCTCTTCATTATTAATAAAGTGCATAATATATTTATAAATCCAACACAAACTTAGTAGCAATAAGATATGAATAAATGAATAGGTCATTTGCAAACTGCTAAATCATTTCAGAAAAATTACACAACAATAAAGTTAATATACAATTATTCAAAAAGGGATTGTCCCATTAAAACATTTTCAAAAAGTCAATGTATAGACTATACAAAACTTAACAAAAAGTTAGTGTACATCGGCATTTGTGTTTTGTTTCTGCTTTGCATATGTAAAGGATCTACAATATAGGGGTCTATTAGCGAAGCAGCCGAAGGATCTAGCCGTAGCTCGGCTGATCCTTTGGCTAGCTTCGGCACCAGGACCCCTTCGGTTCAGTAGAACCGAAGGGCTGCTGTACGGGCTATTCCCTATAGCCCGTACAGCTCCTGAAGTTGGCCGAGCGGCTCAGTCGAGCCGAGGGCATATGCCTCGGCTCGACTGAGCTGCGCTGAAAGCCGAAGCTGGCCGACCGACAGCCTGCTTCTGACAGCTGGGCAGAGCCAGCCGTGATCTTACGTCTGGCTCCGGCCACTTGCAGAGAGATCAGCGTTCCTGGTTACCAGGTAACCAGGGACACTGATCTCCAGACAGCCCAACTCTCCTGGGCGCTCCGGGAGTCTCCCGATATTAGATAGCCACCCGGGAGAGAAACACTTTCTAAAGGAAAGTTTTGCTCTGCTCGATGGAGCAAAGTAAACCTTTCCCTGCTTTTTTTTTATTCCGACATCGAGCCGTTGGCTGGCGTCAGAATAAAAAAAAAATGTCACCATAGGAATGCATTGCTAGATTCCTATTGGCTATTTCAATTTGCAATAGCCAATAGCAAAATAGCTATTGCACCCGCCCACTGCTGCTGTAAATCAGCAGTGGGGACCTGTAGTTCTCCATTAGGTCCCCTTTAGTGATTGACAGCAGCAGTTGGGCAGAGCTAGTTGTCACTGCTAGCTCCGCACAATCGTTTTCTATTGTTTTTTTCCTACTTTTTTAACTATTTTGCTATTCTGCTTAAGATGTCTTCAGACAGCTGAGCCGAATGATGCTCAGCGGCATTCGGCTATTTACTCACTGCTGTTCGGCATCTATGAGAATAGACCGAACAGCAGCGAGTAGCCTGCCGGAGGTTCAGCTTAGCCGATCCAGATGTTGGATCGGCTGAGTCGAACTCCTTCTGTACTTCGAGTCGCCTGAACATGTTGAGCATGTTCGGGCGACCCGAAGCCACACGAAGCCACCCGATGTACTGCTGATTTCAGCCAAAATACGGCTGGAATCAGCCGTACCAGGCTGAAATGAATAGCCGAACAGCGTTCAGCTCACTTCGCTTCAGGTCGGTCGTTCACTCGGCTGCCTACGGCAGCTTAGTGAATAGACCCATAGGGGTTGATTTACTAACCTTATAAACACACCAGGAACATGTATACACCTCTGTAGTGTGTTCCCTCCCAGCATGATCTATGGGTGGAATCTAAACACCTTTGTAGTGTGTACACACCCAGCAGGTGTGTTGTGCAAAGCCTTGCATGAATTACAAGGTGATGTTGTGTAAATTAGCTCTATGTTGTGTTGCTTGCGTTGATGAATGCAGGAATGTAAATGCATGAGCTAACCATTTTTGTCTAAACTGTGAAGCAGCATTATATATGCATCATGTGCATGATTTTTCCATATATGGCATTAGTGGAAATATGCTTTTAGAGACTTTTTGGTTGATAAATACGTTTTGCTGTGTGAAAATCACACGCACCTGGTGCGTGCGTGTGTTTAGGTTAGTAAATCACCCCCATAGTGTTTGAATAGTGAATTGGATTGTATGAAGCATATTTGTTTGTGTGCATTGTTGCTTTTGCATTGCTTTTACTCCTCTGTACAAGTCAATTAAAATGCATTGTAAAGGCATCTTAAGCACATCTGAAATACAGTCCAATTTTCCCTAACAGCATGCTGCAGTTGCCTTGCTCCTAAATTAGATGCCTTGGTACACTGACCCCATACAGATCTAAAGGCTTACTCTTACTGAAAGAGTAAGGAGTTTACTTTAAACACAAATTCTAGCTTTAACCATGCTGTTTTCAAACTATACAACAATGGAAATACTACCATGTAGTAATAGCCGCTGCCTAGATCTGCACAATGTGCCTTTTTGTGCCCATGAAGATAAAATGTTTTAAAATCACTAAAGTCATTCTGAGCCAGAAAGCTGATTAATATTCTGGAAGGCAACATAGAAAATAGGACCAAAGAACTAAGTTTCCACTCCAGTTTGTTTTCTCTACAAACATCAGGACAGTAAGGTGAAAATGGATTAAAGCAATAAAAAGCCCTTACTCTAATCAGTATTCTTCATTCAAATAGCCTGAAACAGCTGAATGAAGTTTAGAATCAATGGTTCTATAATATTAGGCTATATTTGCACTATATATCAACGGCTTTGGATGTGCATCTGGCCAATGTAGTGAAAAGCAATGATTTGCATGGAACAGTCCCAATATGTTCTGAATATGAGATGCAATAAGCAGTAGTGTATTCTGGTTTGGGGCTGCCCTAGGCAAGACGAAACTCAG